CCTGCCTGCCTGTTTCCCGTTCCTGTTTGCTCGCCGGTCTATTGACAGGCTACATGTATGCCCTCTACAATAAAAGTACTGCTTAATTCATCGCGTGCTTATCTAACTACGTAAACAGGGACACAATAAACGCCAAGAGATCAGATTGCCGGTTCAAATAATGACATATTTTGTATCCTATATAACCGACGAAACTCATTCTACTGATCATCATATTCAAACGCATAATTAAAAAATGACAAAATAGTTTGCTTGCAGCAAATTGTAAACTAACGTTTGCTAATATGCCATGACTTCATGGAGGGCAAGCGAAAGTTCTCTCAAAATTTTCACTATGAGGATTCTTTTCCAAATCAGAAATCTTCGGCGAGAATGCAGAAAACAGTTGGTCGAAATAAATATTTGTTTTCAGAATCGGGTTTTAGTGATTTCTAAATCAATCTCATACTAACAATAAAAGTTGTCTTTGGCTCTGATCCTGAAGTATCCGAAATTTGTATGAACTTATGCGTAGAAAAAGCAGTTCTTATAAGGATTGACCTATTGCTTCATTTTTGGATTCTTTCATTAAATCAATCAATAATAAAAAGATTTATTTTGCAGTTTTCAGTTCCAGCAGAATGAAAATCAAGTGTTCTACCATCATACTCTATTACAAACGTTTGGACGAATCTACGAATATCGCACATCATTTTTTGTGGCATATGGACTCTATCTGGGGTCACGTGTATCGATCGAATTAGACTTACGTATCTTCAGAAGTGCAGTATTCCGGTTCATCGGGCAACGGCATACACTTCTCATGAACCATTGTGCGCAGCTCCGTGATCAAGGCTTGAAACTCTTCTGGACTGACTTCCCTTCGTTTCTTTTGCGAACCGATAGCTCCTTTTTTGTTCATTATTTTGAAACGGTTCTAGATACCTGCATTTTATTGTGAAACAGTCAAAAGAAAGTGAATAACTAAATAAATAAATATGGAGAGAGCTGATTTACTCAGTTGGTGGTTGCAAGCTAGGGAAACAGGTATGATACGAAGACTTTTGAATTTTGTCTTCCCTATTTGAAATAATACACAATAGCGAGACGTAAACAGGAAATATAACTGCCATATTTAAAGCCCTGATGTGCCTCTATAAATCTGCAGTCGGATTGAAATGTCAGAATTGAGTGTAAGAAATAACCTTGGCCACCAAATTTACACACCATTTATTATTTAGATGCATGTGTAGTTCGATATTGCAATACAGAATTTGTGTTAAGTTCCGTCGGGAGATTTCACTCAAAGTTTATATTTGTCGTTCCGTTCAGGGCGGGAAAACTAAGTCAAGTGAGTATCACCTCTACCGATGCAAAGGCCAAAACATGATTGTGTAATCCATAGAAATTCGAATAAAACCATCTTTTTAGAGTATCAAGTTGGGATTAACCCAGTCGATTGCTCAGGGGCATCAGGCACTCTTACTGGTTTTGGGTGTGGGTTTCACTCCTTTAGTTGAATATAATTAAACGCACAACCAAGACCATCAAGAGTACCTGGTACTTCTGTCTGAACAACCGAGTGGGCTCCTCCAAACTTGACACTCTAAATTGATTGAACCATTCGTAGAAAGTGATGACCATCGATCGTGTATATCAGGGGTAAGGGTTTGAAGTCCCAACCCGAGTGTTCGAGGTTCCAATCCTGACAGGGACACCAAAAGTACACACTGTTGATGAGTCCCAAACAGGACGAAACAGCTGTCCAGTGGGCTTTGTCGATAATCACAAATACTAGCATTGCGTATAAACCTTTATATTTTCGGATTTTTGGTTAAATGATGCACCGGCGAATTGCCAGACATATGAGATGGCAGTTAACGCAATTCCAATCGGGTTCAGTGTACGAACTGAGGAGATTCGAAGGTGTTATTACCGACTGAAATCTTTTTGTGAGCAATGGTCTCACAGAAGACGGTTTTAGGATCAATAAAACTCAAGCCTATAACATTCATGATAATAGGGGAAGGGAATGATAAGTACGGAGTCACGACGAGTAATAGTTTAAGTTCCTTCAAGTGAGTCAGAGAAGGTCGTAGGGAATCAATAATGCTTGACAGTGAAAATGTATGAACTGAAAAAAGAATAAGCCGGTTGGTCTCAATCCTTGAATTTTACGAAGGGGGAGGGAGTCGATGCAGGTTCCCGTTTTGCATCAGAAATCAAAGTTATGCCCAAAGATTCCCAGGCTGATTCAATTGCTTTGTGTTAGGCATATTTGCTGTCTTTTGGCTCTCTGTCACACCTAACCTGGTGGGGCCTTTTGCGATTCACCACTCCAAGTCCCAGGGCTTGGGTTAACGGTTTACACTGTCGGTGTGGGCAATGAGTGTCTTTGACAGACCTGATCCAGTTCTGTTACCACGTGCGTCAGCGTGCATTCCATCACAGTGAGTACACCATTCGAGCCTAGCTGCAAAACAATCACAAGGCTTTTGGTTTAACAAAGATTTGTCCTCACCGGTGGAGGTATTTTTGTGTTATGACCGGTACCTATATGTTCACAAATCAATTGCTCAGCTGGGCTAGCAGGTAAACACGAACCCGGGCAGGGTGAGCTATGAGAACTTGCAATTTTCACTACTTCGTCAAATCATACGCAACTAGCTGGATCACGACACATTTGTTCACATTTCCATCACTGCTCAAAATGCCAGCCAAGCAGACAGCAAGAAACACACTCTTTCATCTAAGAAGTGTGCAGTTTACGCATTTGTAAGCGAAAAATTAATGCTTTTAGCGGTTTTATGAAATACATGTGACAAGCCTGGTCATTACAATTCGTCCGTACATGCGAGTTAATCGCAAATTAAATCACTGAGGTTATACAGGTGTTTACCAGACAGCCCGTATCCTGAACAACTCCAGATAAACATATCAGTAACTCAGATCTTCAACCTTTGTGATTTTTTAATTGATGAAAATCGATATTTATGGAAATTGTATCGATAAAGTACAGTCGGATGAACATTGTCCGAGCACACTAAGAAATTACCCAATGCCAACACGACCACCACCACAGAAGGTTAGGTGAATTGCCGTTATTTAGTTTGGAATGATTATTAAGGAAAACTATCCGTTTTTGGGAAGACGGGCTTTGAGAGATATTTTTTTATGGCTCAAATGCCACACTGTTGGTACGATACGAGAAGTGAAGTAACCATAATGGGGCTGTTGATATCGAACAACACAAATCAAGTAAGTAAGCATATCAGAATCAGTAGGGTTTTACAGTCCAAAGACCGAAAAATATCATGCTTGAGAATTAACTGCTTTTACTTCATTAGAAATGGCTCAGTATTTAATATCTTAAATGGGATTTTCATCTCCATCCAGTGAGGGAAAATTCATCTTACCCCTTCACCGCAAATATTATAAAAAACTAATGCTAATTGAAGGCTGTACACTCTCAGTCATTCATTACCTCCCAGATTTCTGTTGACTCTGTATTGGAGTTATGTATGTAAGGAAAGAAGTCAGTATATTACTTTCAATGCTCGACGATAATATCCATCCACCAATCGGTGCTGGGGAGTTCTCACGCATGCGATTTTTGTTTTAACATTTTCAGCTAACGACCAAATGTGAGGTTTTTCATCTCGGTCTATCACCCGGAGAAAATAACCATGTCGTTCAATCCGCTCGCCGACATTCTGGGGGTCGATATTCACTTCGCTGAGTTGAACTGTGTGCGTTTTAGCCTACGCACACCAAAGCAACACATGATGAACGCAGTCTGTTACTTTCCTGTCGAATAATGCTTGTGTGCTCACTGTCGTGTGCAATTTATTAAAGATGTTCATGAGAAACAATTCAACTACACGTGTGGACACAACAACGTGCTTGCTCATCCAGTACCACTTTGGGTGTGTCCGCCTCCGGGCATCCGAGGTAGAAGGTAGTGAACGTGTTTTTTTATCTGGTCAACTGTGTAACATATACATCGTCATCGTGGTGCAGCTTAATATAGTGAAGCGAACTTCACTGATCGTTGCCAAACTCATAATGCAAACAAGTTAAGTGAGAATGTGTAAGGAGTAAAGGGATTGGGCTTATTTTTAGGGAAAAGAAAGCGGACCTTTATGATCAACCTACAGAGTACACAGTCCAACTGTGCATACATACTACTTCAAGCATTCTGGTCTGATAAGAAGTGACAGCAAGATCAGCCACTACTGTTGGTCTGCTGCCATGATTTTCAGTGTCTCCAATCATGCGGTTACGGAGTCTTTTGGGCCATATACGGAAATAACTGACGGTTCCTGACCCCATTCCAGCTTTACGTATGCGGGACGGCTTACCGAGGACAACTACCCAGTAGCTCTTTTAGGGGATTTTCAGATCGAGCATCAATTATTAATTAATTAAGTGAGTAAGTAAGTAAGTAACTAAGTAAATAGCGAGCGAATATGGTAGCGAATGTTAAAACCAGAAACGCCCGTGCTGTTAGTGATGACCCACTCAACTTGTCTTGGATTAATCACGCTGCGCTCACACAGTGAGTGACCGAAGGTTTCAATAAGACAAACACTCGACTACTTCGTACAGCTAGTTGAGCACATACGAATCTGACTTATCCAGTTTAAGGAAGATAATTACCACTGTGTTTGATTGACTTCCAAATAAACGGATATCAAAGGCTTCAAGGAAAGAAGTAGTGACGGTAATGATGTTCAGTGGAGACAAATCTTTGAAGTCAGGATCACTAGACCGAGACAGCGGGATACCAACCCGTTTGCATGAATGGGAGGTATCTTCGGCGCTTTCACTACCAGATGTTTACAAGCCACACTTTTCAGTTTTGATAGATGTACAAATATTATCAATGAATACCGGCCTACATTCTGAATGAAATAGATAAATTTGGATGTATGAATGTTGACCGTTATCGAATTATATGATATGAATCCTTCTTTAGGGGTTGTGACGGCTGAACAGCGGTTGACTGAGGATGTGGCGTTGATAGTGTTTTTACCACTGGCTCTGATGTAACCAAAAAGTCCAATTTGCGCACATATTCAGCGGGTGATCACAGCCGTCATCATCAATACGAATGGGAGTCGAACATGCAAACTNTGCAAACTATTGTTCCCGCCCCAAGCCCGCAAATGAATTGTCTGCGAGCATTCTGGCGATGTGGTCTACATACAGCCCAAATTGTACATTTGTACCTCTATGTGTAGTATGCTCATACCACAGTGGTTGCTGAAAAAAGCTGAATTCGTGGGTTTTCTTCGCCAAATACAAAGCCCATCAAAACTGCTATTTGCACAGGCCGCGTCGTTGTTTTAGAAAGAGAACTCCACTCACTGTTCAACTGACACTTTTAAATTCAATTCATAATCAGTTTATTGCCACCGAAACGCATAAAAACCAATGATCTGCAATATTTAGATTGCATAGCCGCACTTTTATCGATCGAAATGTTTGGGTGATACGAGTTGATTATCTCTGGGCATAACAGATAAGCAGTTTCCGAAATAGGTATTTCTTCCCTCATAAACATAATTATTGGATAACACAATCGAAAATGATAATATTTTCATATTGTTCCACACCGTGTACTTGATACGATAGGTTTTATTCCAATACATGGTACAAAAACACTTAGTGTTACGAATAAAAACATATCACAAGGGTACACCTATTCAACGTAAGGCTTCACCAATTCTTCATTTACTCACGCTTCGATTGTGTTGATCACGCTAAGCTATGTAAACTTCACTCATGTTTATCTGCTCAAATTCTTGAATGTACTCCTGTCGTGCAAAACTACCCTATCAAAGACATCGGAATGCGATCAGTTTGTAGCAGAACGAAAAACCTTGTCGTTTGTTTTCCTATCTGATGCTAAAACAGAAT